TAACCCCATACCATACACCATTATCTTACCTGGTGTAAAAAATATAATTTCTCCTAAAGGATTATTTAAGGCACAAATAGTAGGCCAAATGTTCCCTTTATTAGCCAAGCTTAAGGATCATTACTTAATTAGCATTTTCTGGCTAAAGTCTCTCCTATTTGATGGCATGTGTGTAAGTCAGTAAAGGAAATGTTGCATGGGAAATTCCAATGTGACAGCATGACCTTGAGCACTTACTAACCTGGATTTGCATACCTGACTGCCTTTGCTTATAGAGTTATCTTGGAGAAATCACCCTCAGTCTGACACTTCTGCTTATCTGCCTCACCAAGAGTCACAGAAGACTAATTAGCCACTAGCTGTAACATTTTAGAATCCTCAGGAGGAAAGCATAATGCTGAAATCTTTCTGGTTAAATATTTCTGCCTCTCAGTTGTCCAATAACTAAATGATTTCTACCACCTTATTACTAATGAGCTGAAGAATGAGAATGAGATGGGTTTCAAATGTTAGAAAGCTTCTATTATTTTCCCCAGCAATTAAAATAGAGTAAAATGCTAATTATAGCAACAGTACTTAGAATTTATCTACTCTGAGAAAGAACCTAACAAATAGAACCTTATTGTTAATATTTTATTCATGTATATAATGTCATCTCACAACAAATTTTCTGATGGATGAATTGAACTGGCAGGATAAACAATTGGCTTAAGATGTAGAAAAGATACCAGTGTCTTGGAATCTGGACAAGGCATTCCTACCACTGGTTTGAATCACATACATAAAATTTGATTTAAGTTGAATTGGATAAAGCTTCCTGGAGGCATGGATAACTACAACCCTCATGCCATGTATGGATGAACTTTATCTGGGCGGGTTTTGCACTTTCTTAGTTTGCACCTCAATATTTCCAGAAAACATGTGGGTGGTCATAACTTTCCTGGACAATAATCTCTTTGTTTTGGTAGGAAATCAATGATTTTAGCCTTTTAACTGAGTGGAGAAAATATAAACCATCTCGTTGCTGGTAAGGAAATTCCTGAGTGGTTCTTTTTAGGCTCCATCTTTCATCCACAATGGGAAGTGAGTTGTGATGCCAAATAACAAGACACAAAGAGACAACGGATATAGAGGATCTGCAGAGTTTTTCAGCAATAGATGCAATCTTCTTAAGGAGGGAAAGAGGAGAAGAAGATACCCAGGCTTAGATTAAGAGCAGGCAATCACTGACATTTTCAGTGAAGTGAAATAGCTGCCAAAGTGTGTGTTGACTATATACTTTCATCTTAGTTTCCAGATTCTTGAAAATGCTAAATTAAACCTCAGCAATCCTCTTAAAGGGAATTAAGATTAATGTATAGAGAGATGATATTCTAGGAATGATGGCCTTCAGTTGACAAATTTGTATCCAGCTGAACAGAACGATGAGCTTGTTACCAAAGAATCTATGCTCAAGCATTCTGTCATTTTTTCTCAAAATTTCTTCTGGCCTTTTCATTAAATGTTCATTCATGAACTGTATGGGATATTACTCTCTTGAATATTGAGACAGCTACTCTTCACTCTTGAATAATTTCAAATGCTAGCTTAGAATGAAAACCATTAAAAGATTGCTGAAGAATGATGGGCATTTGAGCCAGGGTTTGAATCCTGCTCTCACCACTTGCTAGGCTCCTGATCTTTATGACATCCTCTTGTTTCTAAGAATCTTATCATTTCTTCTTTGAATTGAGAATGAATTGAATAGTTTCTGCTGGGTATTGAGGGGGTATTGAGTGGTAAGGGAGGGTGTGGGGGCAGGGGGGAGAAATGAACCAAGCCTTGTATGCACATATGAATAATAAAAGAAAAAAAAAAGAGAATGAATGGTGAGACCAGCTATTTGTCTTCATTAATGTGGCATCACATGAAAGACAGTTACATGTTAAATATTGTACAAATGTAATGCATTGTGCTTTGATTTTTCCAAAAGGAAAAAAGGTGCTTACATGTAAGAAAATGCTTCATACACATGTAACTTAAGTGTGTGTGTGTGTGTGTGTGTGCATGTGTTTATAAATGCATGTAGACATAAGCAGGTGTGGAGAAAGATGTCATCAACATAGACCCAGGGGATTTGGATATTTTATAATATTGCTCATGTTATGAATAGTTCATTTGGTGAATTTTTTGACTATTTGGCATTTTTTAGATGCAGAGAATAAAGTGGTAAGCATGGTAGAAAATTCATTGCCCTTGTGATATTTATATTCTTTTGAGTGTGTGGGACTTCAAGGGAGATACAATAAATAAAAACAAATAAGATAATTTCAGATAGTGTATGTGCTCTGGAGAAAAGAAAGCAAGTCCTGCTCTGATAGTCAGGAACAAGGAGAATGTGCCAGAACATGAAAAACCATAGGAAAATTGCTCTAGGAAGTAGGTTCAAAGACCCAGAAGTAGGAAAAGTATGTCTTTCAAAAGTATTTGAAAGCAGAAAAATTGACAGAGTGTTTGGTGTCTGTAGAGAAAGCGGAGGTGGAAATACGACTGGGGAGAGATCAACCAATTCAGAGGATAGAACTGGCTCTAGTAAGGAGCCAGGACTTCATTCTAGTTGCTATGAGAAGTCATTATTATGTCTTAAGCATGCTTTATGTACTACCAAACAGAGAAAACTAAGCAATAGCTCTTCAAAAATCAGTTTTTTTTTTTTTTAAAAGAAGATTGTTTCTTACATCTGCAAGATCTAGGAAAGAAGCTTAAACCTCTAGGCGGCGCCAAAGGAAAACGTTTAAAGGATCTTTCAGCACCCAGACTGAAGGGAGAGCGCTCAGATCCTGGTTATCCTTTCAGCCAGGTGAAAGGTGACTCAACCTATGAAACATATAACCCTACCCAAATAGAAGGTTGAGTGGGCTTGTTTACATGCATTGGAACCTTGGTTATCACGGTGGAAGATTGTTTATGATGGGGTGGGAGTGGGAAGACATTGGGGGTTATTTTTAATCGTTTCCCATCTGGTAGTATTTGAGTAGAGTATAAAACAAATATGAAGCCAAAATTTACTTTCTGGATTCATCTGGCAAGGGGAATATCTCTATACTTAGAACTTTGAAAATATTCATCATTTGCCACTTAGGATGTGTTATTCTAAATACCACTCCAAACTTACTTGAAGAAGTCTTTTAGTAACAAGTACCAAGAAAGACTACTGCTTGAAAAGCAGTGGGTTACAGTAAATGGAATTTTCTGCATGCAATCAGATAGCTATGATATGTTATGAAAACAATTCACAGTGAGTTAGATTTTTTTAATAAGAAGGACAGGAGAAAAGAAGAGGGTGGGGGGAGGGGAAAGGAGGAGGAGAAGGAAGAAAAGATATGCTGGTGCTATATATGTAATAAGGAAGGTGCAAAACAGAATGGGAAAGCTTGGAAGGAGGTAGATTTGTAAGTGTGGGAGGTGGGGTGGGTCACATCTGTGTGTACACAGAATTGAGAAACACGGTGACTACGTCGTATACTTTCACATAATGATAAGCAGAGAACATGACTCCCTTTTCCCAAACTGAAACTTCATTCTGTGTCAAGCATTAAAGCTCATGATGATTTTGAGAAAACATTCACTATTGCCTTTATAAGGAAAAGTTCAACTGGTCAGCCTGCATGGATGCTCTTCTCTCCCCATTTCACACCTGATGTCACAATCACATACTTTATATACTCTTTGCTTTACTAAGAGATACTTCAAGAAGAACTGCAAAAGCAGCCAACCAGATAAGTAACCTGATAAGGTGGACAAAGAGCCATCAGAAAAGGGACAGAACCTCAAATCCAGTCAAATCTCAGAGATAGGTAAAGCACTCTAATGGTGCAGGTGATCTAAAAAAAATCATCAGTGCTGGTGTATCTGTTTATTCTAAGAATTATCTATCAAACTTGACCACAAGGCAGAGGAGTGTTAAGCTTCTGATACAACAAAAATGTCAGGCTGAGGACAAAGCAGCTGCCTATGAAACATCCTCCTGCCCAAACACCTCACAGTAGCTTTGTATCTGAAACAATTTAACTGACATGACTCCTTCCTTACCAAGAAGTCCTCAAATTCCATCCCTTGCTACCTACCAAACATTTGGTAAGGAATGTGCTAGGTCATTAATTATCAATTAGTTTTAAAGAATTTAAATAATAGAGTCTTTCTGTACCTTCTCAACCATAGATGATGTGACCTTTGTTCACACAAATACATCCATATTAATGAGACTGGGGCAGAGAAAAGGGAAAGGAGAAAGAGGCCTAAAGAATGAGATTTGCTTAAATATTTCAAACCATGTACATCAAAATTAATCAAAACTTGCATTCTTTGCCAATAAGTCTTCCATTCTTCCATTCCTGAGGCTGATTTATTTATAATGAGAGAAGCTATCATGGTAGTTCTCAAAGGCAATAAAAAAATTCCCAAATAAAGCCATGTTATTGGACTGTTGGAAGGAAGGGGAGAGGGAACATTTGTAGGTTATCCAGCACTGGCAATTATTTAGCAAAAGTTGATTCCTTCTAGAACTGAGGATTTGTGGCACTGGTACACACAGAAACACAACTCTGAATCACAGAGACCCTTAAAACAACCTGCTGTGACTCTTACTGGTTAGGCTACTAACGAATGGGTCACCTAGATCTGGTGATTCTCCTCTCCTCCTGTCTCCTACTCCAGACACTGTAGACCCTGGATGGGAGTATGTGTGACAGAAAGAAGACTTTCCTGACTGATGGCAGAGAAGAATTACAGAATTTGAATGGAAGCGTAGAGTTAGTAGAAACTTTCAGAGGTTATTTCACCCCATTTCATCTAAGAAGAGAGAAATACATCCCACCAACACCCAAAGGCTCCTAGGTGCAAGGCAAGGTGCCAGCCTCGAGGAGTGGACTCCCAGAGCGTTAGTCAACCCTGGCTCTCCGGAAGGTATTTATAAATAACCCAGGCGAGTCAGAGGGGAAAGCAAGGCAGACAGGAGTTACCTGGTTGATGGAAATAACGGCCAGTCGGGGGATGACCACTTGGAGGATCACCTGCAGTAGTGATGTGCCCAGGCCTGCCAGGATGGCCCAGGTGAGCGGTAGTGGAAGCATGCTGTAGGTGGCGAAGAGAGTGAAGAGCACATAGCCTATACCGTCACCCAGAAGCCCATAGCCAAGGCCTGCTGCCAGGATCTGGGTGGTCATGGCCACCCAGGTGACCACACCGCTGTATTGCAGGTATGTGTGTGAGGTGGTATCCTTCCTGACCACCACCAGGGCGCAAATCACCACCTCAATACCAGTGAAGAAACCTAGCAGGATACCTTTGAGCGGGTCCATGGGGGCCGAGGCCAAGCTAAGGTGGAGGACCAAGAGAGTGAGTTTGGTCAGCACATCCAGCACATTCATCACCACCTCGGATTTGCGCCTTTGGCCCAGGAAATAGCGCTGGTAGAGGCGCTCCAAATCCCGGGACTTGAAGGAGTTGCGCAGGGTAGGGAAAATGACCCCTCTGTAGCTGTAGCCCCCATTGAGGAAGAAATCTGAGTTGCTGGGGGCACAGTCAAGGTGCAGGAAGCCCAGGTCTCCCCCGCCTCCGCTGCCACTGGCACTACCACTCCCGCTGCGTTCGGGGAAGACTTTGGTGCCGCCGGTGCTGTGCGCTCGCTCCCCTGGGCCCAGTGAATACAGCGGCAGCGCTGAGTCGCCAGACAGCTGCGGCGCGTGGTGGTTGGGACCGCTGCCTGCAGGGTTCGAGGCTTTGCGGGAGCCCCCGCTCCCTCTGCTGCCGCCACCCCGGTGACCGTGAATGAAGCGCTGCTCGGTGATGTGCCGCACCGCCGTCTGCCACAGCAGCCGCTGTGGCCGGGAGCCGCTCCCGCCGTCGCCCGCCGGGGGCGTCGGGTGGATGGTGTAGAGTTCCTCGCTGCCGCTAAGGCAGCGCACATCCGAGAGCTCCATGGCGCCGGGCCGCTGAGAGGAAGACGAAGAAACTGGGGGAAGCAGCAGGGGAAGGGGGTTCCCAAAGACCCAAAGGCGGCTTGGTAGGAGTTTGGCAAATATCCTTTCTCTCCAAGGCTGCCAGGGTGTAGGAGCCCGGGGCAGGAACCCCGTAGGTCAGGTCATAGTGCGTCCAGGGGCAAAGGGCTCCTGGAAGATCTCAGTGGAACCTGGCGTCCCTGCGAGTCACCTTGCTGCCAGTCCGCGCGGCTTGGGTACGCAGTGGCGGTGGTGGCTATTTGTCCGCAGAAGCCGTGGCGCTCTGAGCCACGCAGACCCCTTCCTAGGTTCAGGCTCCTTGCCTGGTTCTAGACTCAGCGTCTTGGCGCAGCCTTTGCTCTCCAAGAGGCGCCCAGGCGCCAGGGCGCCTTGCTTTTGCTGCGCGTCGGGCGGGTCCTGGCTGCGGCACTGGGCTCCGGACGCCCACGGCTCAGTGGCTGCAGAGAGGCTGGCCGGCTGGCCGAGGGTGACCGGCTGCTGTGATGCTCATGAAGTTAGCAGCTGTGCCTGGAATCATCGCCCTTCGGAGAACTCCATTGCGCCTAGATGGGGAGCCTGGGCGGAGCTGGGGGCGGGGGCAATGATGCAGGAGGAGTGGGTGACCATGAGGTGGCAGGGAGCCCCGCGGGAGGGTTGGAAAGGTTGTAGCCTCAGTCAGCTCTAACAAGTCACCAAACAGTTAATTTAGAGGAAGAGGTGTTCTGAAGCTCCCTTATCAGCTCATTCCTGGCTGTCTGTCGCCACTTCCAGTGCGAGGACTGACAGTGCATCGCTGTTTCTGGGCAGAAGCATCCCTCTGGGAGGAAGGTGGAAGGGCGCTAGCTCCAGGATCCCAGCCTCACTATAAGAAGAGGCCAACGATTGCAGTTGTGCTTCTGAGGAGGCGCAGCACACAGTTCCCATCCCCTTCACTTGGCTCTTTGGAGTCCATTTGGCCGGGAGATAGGAGGAGAGGGAGACAGGGAAAAGAACAAGTGGAGAGGGCGCCAAAGGCAACAGCCCTGAGTACGAAGAGAAGCCACTGGTGCGTATTTCTGAGTCTGATAAGCGAAGCTTGGTGGGTGCGAAGAGCTTTAGGTTTGGGCGAGAAGAGAGGCCCCAGGCCGCCTGGCAGTGGATGAGGCGCCTCCGGATCTAGGGTAGCTCGGCGCGCCACCCTGGCTCTCTGAAGTGCGCGGCAGGACCAGAAGACTGAAAGGAATTTGGAGACCTGTCAGAGCGGCCAGACACCGGAGGAGACTTATACCCGCCCCCGAGTTAGGCCACGCCCCCGGAACCGGGGATGGGGTGGCGGTGGCGGCTGAGACCAGGACCCAGATGTGGCCAGGACACCCCAGGTCTTGAAGGCAGCAGCACGCGTGGACCGCCTTGGGAGAGGACCGCTGTGGCAGGTACCGGCGGTGGGCGCCCCCAGCCCTCTCCGCGCCACTATCCAGCGTTACAGCTGGCAGCGCCCGCCAGTTCCTCCCGTTGTTCTTTTTTAGGACTCGCTCTGGTACTCCGCAGGTGCGGAGCGGAGCCAGAACCCGTAGGCCGCTTTGCCCACGGACTCTTAGAACCCAGCGCCACGCAATAGTGTGTCCTTTCTGCCCTCCCCACGCAGGCATCTTTTGGCAAAGCCAACTTTTCCGTTAAACACCGAATCTCCCAAGAAACCTTAATCCCAGAGGCAGACAGCTCCCTGTGGGAGGGAGACTCTACTCCATCGACTTGAGGGGAGGAAGGCGCGGGGCATTAAAATGGGGGCGTCCTCTGCATGTCTCGCACACTAAATTTCTTCCTGATTACAATAGGGATAGAGAGGAAGATTTGGGGAAAGGAATTTCCAGGGGCTGCTTAGAATGCGTGTTTCTCGCCCCCAGACCCGCCGAGCGGTAGCAGACAACGCCTGGGGCGCAGCTCCTGGTGGACCAAATCACTGTTCCTGGCGGTGGTCGCATGGTGTCAGCGCCAACGTTTAGCCCAGTGGTGTCCCTAGGTGCCGGGTCCACCGGGCAAGTGGCGCCGCCGCCTCCTCTGTCTCCAGCCAGACTGCAGGTGGCTGAGCATTGGCGGCCACCACCTCTGCCACCAGGACTGCTGCTGCAGTCAGTGGAGTCAGGGCCCTGAACAGTCAGCTGATGGCCAATGACGTCAGACTCTGGGCGCTTTCACCGCTCCCCATGGCGTCCGGTGAAAGCCCAAATGACCGCCTTGCTCAGTCCCTCTGAGCTAGTGATTTTCCCTGCTTTTGCACAGAGAAACACCTGGAGAAACTCTCTTCAAGCCTGTCTGCCCTGAGCAAGAATAACTTTGTATGTCCTGGTCCTTCCCCAACTACACATACCATCTCCATGGTTATTTGTGCAGCCTTGTCCCAGAAAGCATTTTAACTCTTTTCCACGCATACAGGTCAACTGCCTTGCATGGCGACTCTCAGAAGGAAGACGAAAGTGTATTTTATAACATTTCTCTCCATTTTTAAATAACTGACTTAGGGAAATTGTTAAACACCCTGGAAAAAAATTCTTTAATACCATCTCTCAAAAAGGAGACCAAACACAAACGTTCAATTTTAAATAGAAAGGAAGCCCATTCTATTTTAAACTCGGTTTGTAAATGAATTAATTTGTTAACTGTAAAGGTCTCTCAGAGTAGCTGGCCTATCCTCACTCATGCAGGTAGAAGTTAAGGACAAAGCAGTTCAAGACTGTTTTGCAGGTATATAGGCCTTAATGAAACCACCCTAAGAATCACTTCAAAAACAAAGCTACTTGGTTCTCCTTTTCTGATTCCTCAGAGTCAGGTCTCCCTCATTATCCTGGAACTCTGGGCTGAGTAACAAGTCTTAATTTGAGGAGGGAGCCCACAGGAGCAGAGTGGGAAGGGTTTTTCCATAGACCTTGAGCCAGGATGTGTATGGAGCTGTGTCCTTTCTCTGTGAGCATTGCCCCAAGTCATCTGTGGCAATGACCATTTTAGCAAACTTGGCACTGAAGACACTTCTTCATTTTCTCAATTCTTTCTCCTTTGGGCCCTGAGGATTCAGCCTGCTTAAATGAGGGGCATAATGCAGATGGAACTTTCCTTTGAAAATCTTCCTCCAACCTGGACATGTCCCAGGATGATTTATTCAGCAGCAGAAGAAGGCAGGCCAAGGAGGGTGATGCTGGGTCCAATCAGATAAAATGACTCAGGTTGATGAATGAGTGTAGCAAGTTGTAGGAAGAAATTCCAAGAATTTCATGAAGTCAAAGATTGAAGCAAATATACGCAGGGAAAAAAAAAAAACCATCACATCTGCCCAACTGCCTCTGACTACTCCTTTGCTGTAGGGGTGTCACCACAAGACTGCTTAAAAGAAAAACATGGATGTCATAACGAGGTTCAAATGTTATTCTTTTTGTGGCACAACATGGTGCCATTCAGCCCCCAAAGCATTCTGTTTTTAAATGACAGTGTTGGCTCCGCATAAATATTGTGCTTTTTGGAATATGCAAACAGCCAAATGATTTCTTATTACTTAAAACAAGAGAAGTCTTGTGTTGAGGCTAGGATGGGACTTTTATCATTGCTATCATTTATTCTCTACGTATTTATTAAGCCTGGGTTTCTTCTGTGATCCAGGGACAATATTTTGACAACCCGGTGACTTTTTGTGCATATTTTCCTCCTCTTGGATTGCCCCCCTTTTCCCTCCTTAAAAATACTAGTCACTTCTTCCTTCAAAGAGTGAACAACACAGTTCGTACAATAAGCCTTCTCTGACATTTCTGAGTAAAAACGAATGACTGTGTTCTGTGTGGTACAGTAGTCTATTCTGTGCGCTTTAGTGTGGTCCCTACGACAGGAGCTGGTGCACTACATTTGTGCATGTGTCCACATTTCTATAACTTCTCCCCATGACACAGAGAGTTTCTTGAAGGGGAAACTGATTTTCCTTGAACCCATATCCCTGTCTTCTAACAAATGTACTTAGAGATAATAATAAGGTGGGCAAGAACTTTTCACTATTTATTAGCTGTGAGCTTCTTCCTTAAGATCTTTTATAAACATCTTGTTTAATCATCCCCTTGATTCTATGAGTTAGATTCTTCTCTATTTTTATTAATTTCCATTTTTGTAAGACAGACTACTGGGGCTTCTTATGGCTAAGTAACTTGCCTGGGATGTCTTAATTAGTAGGTAGCAAAACTGCACTGATCAAATTTGAGTAATCCACATGCTTAAGAAAAATGCTGTAATAATCAATCAGTGACTAATTTAAATAGGTCTGATAGAAAAGAAAATGTCAAATATATTTTGATTTTCCAAAAGAAAATTAAATAAGGAACTTGAGATTTTTACAGGTTGAGAAATCTGTTAGGATGATGCAAATAGCAGATGAATGTAGCAGAACTTGTGCTTATTTGGATGGAGGGCTTATTAATTTTGGGTCAGTTCCAAGAATAGATATTATTTTTATAATTTGTGAAAAATAAAATTAACCAAAATAATTGACTTGATCTACTTTATTTCATTTTGGTGGTTCTGATGGTAGGAACATACCCTTTCATCTCATTGGAGGATAACATATTTGTTTTGTTATGTTGCTACACACCACTGGCCACATTTACAGTAGCTGTGTTTAAGAAAAGGAAGCCAGTTTCCCTGTCAATGCGTTTTGATGTCCTAGGCTGATTATACGAACATGTGAATTTAAATTTTATAAGAGCTGTGCCCTTTGCAGAATGGCCCATAGAAACCCTGACACTGTCTGAAGACATAAAATATTCACATGTAAAAGAAAAGATGGACTCATTCAGGAAGGGGACCCGAAACCAGAGAGATCTTGTTTCCAAAGGGAAGAAGGGTGTTTGTGACACAGCATCTTCCCAAGCCAGAAATGCTTAAAGGAAAATGACACTCCTCTCCTGGAACACTGCCCTCAGGAACTAGCAAAGACATCAGCTGCTTTGATGGAACTCCAGGAAAAGTAAATG